TATACTGGATTGCATATTTTAGCTATTAATGTCACAAAATTTAGATTTAGAAGTACCAATACTTTAGTTGCTGTTTTATTTAATTTTTGAAAGAGCTTAGGTCATTTGATAACACAAGCCATCAATAACTGGTATCTATATAATGGTTGTCTAATATTTAAAATCTAAATGAATTAACTGTTAGTGTTAAAAGATGAAATAGTGTGTATAAACAAAAACTAATCCAGACTGTAATTTTAATTTAGAGTTTTCAACAACCTTTTTACACTTAGAAAACGATTCTGGAAAGTTCAAAGTTCATATTATTATTATGCCAATTAAGTAAAACCTAAGAGTGCCCTTAGGCTAGGATATTTTATCGTATGTTCTCATAGCCTCATCGGTAATAAGAAACAAGAATGACGTAAGTTCCCATCTCCCACACGAGTATATAGTTTCTTTTTATGGAACATTTAAAATTTGTGGTTTTTCATAGGTCAATTCTCTTAAGGTTAAACCTTGCAGACCTTAAGAAACAAAAACAAATTAAAGTGAAACTTTGATTACTCATAGATAAATTACATTTAATCTTAGTTTAATAACAACTTTGCTAACTAACATCGCCAGAAAATAGGCAACTTTATGAATTTCCTATATAATTTCTTGTGTACTTCGAGATATTCAATCGGCATGTCACCTTTCACAACTCAAGCTGTAGAATAATCTGAAAACGCTTTCAGTGTCTGCGATTTTTATGAAAGTCATGATTAATTGCTTCACGTCACCTCAACTACCAAGTGTTTAGAAAGGTTAATTAATGTGTTTAATCTACACTATTACTTTGTGTGGATCCTGAGTTATTTCATAGTAATTTGTTTTCAATCATATCCTGATTAGCAATGCCATGCTATACTTTAAAGTAATTAACATTGTCGTTGAATAACTTTGAAAATATGATGCGAAATTACAAAGTTTGTTAAAATTTGTGTAAAAGAAGCCAAGCTTCTACTTCGAATGACGCAAACAAAAATAGTGTATTAATCGAAGCTAAAAGCATTAACTCTTGTGTTAGCGATTAGGCAGGATAGCTTTACTGCATAATAATGTATTTAATGAGAGTGGAGCTTTATACAAAGGTTACAAAACCTGAATAGCAAGCACTAAGAAGTGTCCCAGTTATACAAATGTACATTACTTTATTTAACTAACTTAGAGCTTTTTTATTCTTTTACTTTCTGTACACCATAGCTTAACTGCATATGGCATAATTCAAATTAAAAAATCCTGAAACGTCATTAATACATCGCGTTGATTCGTTGTGTAGTTTCATGAAATAATTAACTGGTGCTTACTACAATTTCGAATGGTCTGAAACCGAGCTAAATGATAATTTAGATTTAGTAGTTAAATATATGCCGATATATCTCCAGTTTATAATATTTGCCAACAGATTGGTACACACACAGTTTCCTTTTTTAATACAAATGTGTTTCAATACACAAACAACAATACAATTTATAATAACAGTTATTACAAATAGTTATTACAAACAAACGTTTTGTTATTTTACAAATTTACAAGCGATATAAAGTTTTCTTTCTAGTCTGGAACTTCCTTGATATCTTATCGAGAGTTGACAAAGAGAGAGTTAATTTCGAGTTGACTTAGGTACAATTCACTTGATAGGGAGCTAGCTAACTCTATAGTTCTCGCTGATCACATGCTGATTACAGGTCGAGTTTCCAACGTTAGGTAACGTTTTCGTAAAAGTACTAATGTGTGATGTGAATCCACTGAAGTTAAATGGTTTGTAGTGTTTGAAATTGATAAACGTTCCTGGTCAAATATCTGAAGTTCCCGATTAATAAGCGTTAACCACAGTTATAACTTACGAATTTTATAGCACACCAAAACAGCAACTCAATAATAGGCACTGCTTTTAGACGTGTCGCGTTGGTTATATTTATAGGCATGCGGAGAGTTTCTCGAAAATTCAGATTACGTAACAATACAAAGCTACACTGGCGTTTGGGTACATACATGTATATTGTTGATTCTTACGCTCCAGAATCTTCTACAACTTTAGAGAATAGGCGGGAGTTTCGCAATACATATTTAATAGTATACGTTAGATGAATTTCTAAATATAAACTTAATTTAAAAAACATCTATATTAAAATAAATATGGAATAATAAATCCGGCACATAACATAAGGCATATAAATAGAATATATAAGTGTTTAACTCATATGTTGTATGTGCATAAGATTTATGCACGTATCATATTTAAAATAGCAATAGAAATCATTAGAATTCATAAAGATATCAATAACAGAAATGTAGCTTACAGATTCAGATCCAAGAGAGCTTGATGTATGTTGTATTAGCCTTACTGATCCAAGATAGTTTGATATGTGGTGTATTCGACTGGTGAAGCTACTCTAAACGCTATGTTCTTTTAAACTTCTACAAGTGCTACATGTTGTTATGCGTTGTATCCAGAAAATTATTTTACAGTTCAATACTATAAAAATATGTAACTGCATTACAGAAATATGCTTTTTTCTATACATTTTTATACGCTTTGAAACATTTATGACTGGCGTTAACACCCAACAATTATTGTAATAAAATGTATTTTTATAGTTTCGGTAACTTATTACAGTGCACAGCGTTTAACAAAACACAATCTTGTTACCTGCCTTTATCTAAATTCCTAATTGATTTTATATGCAAACTAAATGTACACACACTTTTGTAGAAATGTTAATTTAAGAATCAAAACAAATATCGTTAATAAAGTTCTAAAGCAAATAACAGCAATTCTATATCAATGTTAGCATTAACCTGACATATTAAATGAGTAAAAACAACTTTGTTAAGTATCACAGTTTATATCTTGGGTAACAAATTAGTTGTTTATAACGTGTTATTGTTCTTGTTATTATTTGATCTTTATGGAAACCCACCGTATGTTTCTCATACCAGAGCACTCATTACTTATCTATGCTTTAGAACAATTAAACACGAACATGAAGGATGTCCACACGTTTGCAATAAAAATGAACAAGAGTTGCTTGCCAACAATAACTTTACAAACATTTATTCGTCACACTTCTTACTGCTGTGGTGTAATATGAACATTTTATTAATTATTCTCAGAATGTCAGAAAAAAAGATAAATTTTTCGTACAGAATACTGACCTATAAATCCATCTAACTAAAAACAAGACAAGAAAATATTTTCTGACCAAAACATTTCTTGTATTAAAACATAGAATCACTTGCATTTTCTCTTTATCCTGCGTGTGAAAGTAGGCTTGGCACAGAGAAGTTAGTTCATTACATTTTGCTTTTCAGAACTTTTAAGAAAATGTACGATATTACAATTCTGGTAATACCAAAGAAATATTAGCTCTCTTTTTTTTATGAATAAAGAAAATTTGAAAATTCGAAATGCATATATAACACATTTCCTTATATTTTAACGTAATCCAGTATAAAAAATGGAAATTGCATAAGCTCATTAAAATTCTTTACATTCAATTATGATTTTGTAAGCGATTCTACTGTTTACAAAAAATAATTTGTACAACATTGGCTTCTAAAGGTCTGAAACTCGTGGTATCAATATTCTTCCACTTGGTATTTTGCAAAGAAACTTCGAAATAGTGCTAGTTATATTGTGATATCTTCAGTTTTGCTGCCACCCAGTGGCACAGCGGTATGTCTGTGGACTTACAACGCTAGAAATCGCGTTTCGATGCCCGTGGTGGACAGAGCACAGATTGTGCGGCTATGTGCTTAATTAAAAACAAACAAACAATCAGTTTTGCTCCAGTGGATGTAACAAATATGAATATATATATATTTATGGATTTCTTATCGCACAAATGATATTTCATGCCTTTACGTTTCTTTGTGTTAATTTTTTCTAAACTAATAATTAGTTTCTAGACCTGATTGCTGTTAGACAAACGTTTGTTGTAGGTTCCAAAGATAAATAATCAAACTGAGATTAAAATATATTTTGCCTTATACGTTAAACCCCCCTCTCCCACTGGCTCAGTGATAAGTTTACGGACTTACAACGCTAAAACACAGGGTTTGGATATACGTGGTAGGAATAGCACAGACAGACCATTCTGTAGCTTTGTGCTTAACGAAAAACAAACAACCTTATAAGTTAATAATGGCTGGAAACGGCTTGAATGGGTTTGTATGAATAGTTTTGAGCCCGTTACTCATAAACAATATTTTACCTAGTCGTAACTTATAAGGTTCGAATTTGATGACGAGGAACCCACTTTGAGACTAATAATGGCTTTATATTAAAGTTTTTCTTCATTGTGTTAAACTTTCTCTCGCTGCATTTAAGTAAATTTATAAGCTTACAGTTAGTTTACAGATGAACAACACATCAAACATAATATTCTAATTAATACCAACACACATCGTAACTGTAAAGCAGATATAATACAGTTTTACGCTTTAATGAGTGATTTGGGAAGACTTGGGAACGTATGCTGTTTTCTGTTAAGGTAAACAAGAAATAATGTTCTGCTGTATTTTTGGGATTATTTTAAAGTATCCAGACCTTTGAATTAAATTACTTCTATCTCATTTAATCAGTGACAGTTTCATATCTAGAGAAGTACGTGCATTGACACATGAGTTGATGTCTAGGTTCTGAGCTAGCTCGTCGTTTACGGTTTCGACAGTTCAAGGAGTTGGATACTACGCTACTTGAGAGAGAGAAAAAAACTAAAAACTTTTTTCTTGAGTCACACAGTTTTAGCATTCCTATTTCATCAATAGGGAAAGCTCCTGAATATTAATAAAACCATGCTGTTGTCAGTATATAAACTTGTTATTTTCTAACAGTATTAACTTAATGAATATGTTAAGTTTTTTAATGTAATTAAAAATTAACACTCGCTCATTAGTAACATAGAGTTGTTCTTAATTTTTGAATTTAACTTACACTTGCATAATCTTCATTTGAAGTTTGATATACTTACTTCACGAACGAGTGTTGAGTCACTTTTGCCTTTACACCTGTTTCATTTACAACAATAGATGAGACAACCTACTGATATGGCAGACGTTTAGCAACCCATAATACAGTTCAGAGGAGAAAGCAAGTCCTTATCAGTCTTTATACCGAAGAGAGGTTAATCTGTTGTGAAACGTGTAAATGTACATCAAACCAAGCATTATGTAAGATAATATTATGTTCCGTTAATTATACGTCTAGTATGTTACAACACGCCACAGTTGTGTCAACAGGAAATTACGTATAGTGTTATTTACTTCCACGAAAATGATTTCAAGAACTAAAAACAGGATAAAATAGCAAAGTTGATAATCATTATTATTACATTATTACATCATCTCAGCTGAGCATTTGTTCTCACATTTAAAGTAAAATTAGAATAGTATTGTTGCTATGTTAGTTAAATATGCAGTAAATGCAAAAGGTTGACTTGTTAGTTATATTAAATAGATAAAGCAACAGAGTCGAGTTTCTGTATAGCTTTGATCGATACCTAAAATCGAAAAATCCTTAATTTTATTCATTGAATTTCGCGCAAAGCTACACGAGGGCTATCTGCGCTAGCCGTCCCTAATTTAGCAGTGAAATACTAGAGGGAAGG